CAGGGTCAGCATAGCTACGAGCGCGGATCCCTGTAGCTTCATGTTGTGTCTGGTGTTGTGCGCAGGGTCAGCACATCTACGAGCGCGGATCCCTGTAGCTTCATGTTGTGTCTGGTGTTGTGCGCAGGGTCAGCACATCTACGAGCGCGGATCCCTGTAGCTTCATGTTGTGACGTGTGTTGTGCGCAGGGTCAGCACATCTACGAGCGCGGATCCCTGTAGCTTCATGTTGTGACGTGTGTTGTGCGCAGGGTCAGCATATCTACGAGCGCGGATCGAAGGCGGGCAAGCGCGTCCAGTCAAACATGGGAGCGAAGAACCACGGCGTCATCATGGCGGACGCCAACAAGGAAGCCACTCTCAACCAGGTACACATCCCTGGCCGTAGTCGCATCCCCCGTCCTAGCCGTGTTGAGTCAGGTGTGTCCCCCTTCCACGGTGACATAGTGCAGTATGGCGCAGGTGACACAGGCGACACTCACCTTGGTGCGGCCACTCTACCGTACGAGTAAGTAAAGTGTGTCTGTGGTGACAGCGTATCGCAAGCAGCCCAGTGCGGGATATGCGCAGTCGTTGTGTGGTTCGCCTGTGATTAGATTCTCTAATCTCGCATTCGCTGAGCAATTCTGGGAGTTTGCACTTCCTGGGAGTGAAATTAAATCCGACCGCATTTGAGTAATTTAGTTGATTAATTAATAAAATTATTTTAATTAAATAATTTGTTTTAATTATTCAGTTGGGTAATAATACAAACCGTCGGGCGTCGGCATTTTGCACAACACGTGACAACGTTCTCTTGCTTTGTTCGTGTTCGGCTTGTAGCTTGTGGGAGCAGCATTCGGGGCGGCGGGACAGCGTTGCATGGCTCTGCCCACTGCTGTGTTCATTGGCAAGGCAAAGGAGTGGATACCTGAACTGGTGGAGCGAGCGAGTCGACTAAAGGTCAATGCAGGTAAGTAGGCAGGTGAGTGAAGGGTCATAACAATGTGGCGGCTACGCCGCTGAAGGTCAACAACAGTGTGGGCGGCAGCGCAGGGTGAAGGTTGACACAGCGGTAAGAGCAAGAGTGTCAGGGTGAAGGTTGACACAGTGTGGGCATGGCTAGGGTGATATGGGGTTGACACTAAGAGTAGAGGCAGGACAGGATAATGTGAAGTTGGTTTATAACAAGTGGCAGCAGGACAGGGGCGTGATAGGTCAAAATATGTGAAGTTTTTCTGCATTAGAAAGTGGTCGAAGAAACTAATGCGTTAGGACTAAAGGACAGGGTGAGGTTTACACAGTGTGGAGCATGGCAGGACGTGTCCTCAAAGAGTTCGATCACAGGCTTGAGCATGCAGGGTGTGCGAAGTCATCTTCACAGGTGGGCAGGGGCAGGGATGAAGTGGTTGACACAAAGCGTGAGACATGCAGGTTGGATAATGGTATCGTACTAGCTGTGTATTGTCAGACAGGCGTACGAAGGTTGACAACAGGTGAGCAGGCAGGGGTGAAGGTCAAACACAGGGGAGCACATCGGGCAGGTTAAGGTTGACACAGGTTGAGCGAGGCTAGGCGTGAAGGTTGGAACATCAAGGTAGGGCAGCAGGTGCGTGAAGGCTGCATACAGGTGGGCAGCGAGTCGCGTGAAGTTGACACAGATGAGCAGGGCAGGGTGCAAGGGTAACCACAGGCGGAGCAAGGCAGGGTGTAAGGTTGACCAGCGTGAGCACAGAGCGGGCTGATAGGGTTGACACAGGTGGGCAGCAGGGTGAAGGTCAACACATGGGTGAGCAGCAGGCGTGAAGGTTGACAGCAGGTTGGCAGGCTCAGGCGTGATAGGTGACACTAGGTAGCGGGCAAGTGCTAGGTGGTGTAAGCGGTCTTACTTCAGGTGGCGGCAGCCAGTGTATGGTTGCACAGGTGAGGCAGGGCACAGGCTCGCTGAAGGTGACCGATTTGATTGTATTTCTGGCTGTGCGTAACGACGATTTCCCAGGGTACTGTTCAGATACTGGCGTTCTCTCCTGTTTGTCACCCGGCGAAATTTACCTAGTACCGGCCGGGCATATAAAGAAACAGTCTAGGTTGTATTTTCATCATTTTTTTTGGTACAAATATCGAGCCAGGCAGGACAATAGAGGTTATGGACACAGCTGTTGGAGCAGAGCAGAGCTACTGCGTGAGGGTTGACACAGGTGGGCAGGCAGGGTGAATGAGTCAAACAGGCAGGTGGGCAGGCAGTTTTGGAGGTTTGAACAGTGTGGGGCAGGCAGGGTTGAATGGATCAACACAGCGGGAGCAGGCAGTGGTGAACGGTTGACACGGGTGGCAGGCTAGGCTGTGAGGTTGACTGACAGGTGGGCAGGCAGGCGTGCGAAAGGTTGACATCTGGATAAGCGCAGAGGGTGAAGGTTGCACCACGGTGGGGCAGGCAGGGTAAGCGTTGACACAGGATCGGGCAGGCGAGGCATATGAAGGTTGACACAGGCTGCGCCAGCAGGGTGAAGGTTGGACATCTGGGTAAGCAGGCAGGTGAGGTTGAACCGGATGGGCAGACAGCGGCTGAAGGTTGACACAGTGTGGCAGCAGGGCTGAGCGTTGACATCAGGGTGGTGCATGGCAGAGCGATTTTGGAAAGGTGCACAGGTGGACAAGCAGGGTGGAGGTTTGACACAGCGCTGGGTGGATCAGGCAGGGTGAAGGTTCACACACAGCGCTCGTTGGGCTCAAGCAGGTCATCGCTCCGCGAGCAGGGTTGACACAGATGGGCAGGCAGGGTGAGGTTGCACACGAGTGGCGCAGCAGGGCTGATAGGCTCAATCACAGGGTGGGCAGGGCAGGCGTGAACGGTTGACACAGTGGGTGGCACAGGAATAGGGTGAAGCGTCACACAGGGTTTCTTTTTTCTTGTGCTTATTTTATTTTCTTTTTCTTTTTCCGTGCTTTATTTTGCGGCAGGCAGCCGGCTGAAGGTCACACAGGTGAGGCCAGGGATTCAGGAGTGAGGTTGACACGATGGGCAGGCGGGCTGATTAGAAGTCACAAAGGTTGGACACAGTGTGCGGCAGGCATGGGTGAAGGGTCAGCACAGGTGGGCAGCCAGGGTGTGAAGATGTTGACACAGAGTGGACAGGTGCAGCGGTGAGTGTCAAGCACATGGTGGGTACAGCAGGGTGAAGGGTTTACACAGAGTTGTTAGGGCGGCAGTGTGTTGTGAAGGTCACACAAGGTGGGACCTAGGTCAGCGGTGAAAGAGTTGACGCGGTGGGCAGGCAGCGTCGCGGGTGAAGGTTGACCAGGTAGAGCCAGGATGGCGGTGAGGTTGACACAGGTGGCGACAGGCAGGAGCTCGAAAGTTGGAACACAGGCTCGAGCAAGGCAGGGCTTGGGTGGCAAGGCTTCGAGCACAGATGTGGGCTACGGCACGTCCGGCGTTGTAATTAAAGGTCATACGCACAAGAGTGATTTGCAGGCAATTATGTACGAAAGGGTCGTGTTACAAGGATTGTGTATCGTAGTAGGTCAACACAGGTGGGCAGGCAGGGTGAGGTGAGGCACAGTGGGCAGGCAGGAGTGGAAGGTTTCAACACAGGGTGGGCGGCAGTGGGAGCTGAGGGTAGATAATGATGTATGGACTATCATTGCCGTGCGGACTTTAGGGCGGGTGCAAGGGTCAACCAGGGAAGCAGTGCCAGGGTGAACGGGTTGACACAGAGTGGGCAGAGCAGGCGTTTGGTGAAACAGAGCGATTCCAACACAGGTGGAGCAGGCCTAGCGTAAGCGTCCTGTAATGGTCAACGAAACAGGTGGGCGGACGCGCGCAGGAGAAACCAAGGTGAAAGAAAGGGGCTGACACAGGAATGGCAGCTCAGTGGCATGTGCTGAACCTCTTTCAGGTGACTGTTGAACACAGTGTTGGCATGGCATGGGTGTAAGCCGTCAACACAGCTGTGAGCGGCAGGCGTGAGGGTTGAACTTGGTGGGCAGGCCAGCGGTGAAGGTTTGACACATGGTGGGCAGCGGCAGGCGTGAAGCCGTTCAACACAGGGTGGGCAGGCTGCGAGTGAAGGTCAACACAGCGTGGCAGCAGGTGAAGCGTTGCACTCAGCTGAGCAGGCACCGGCGTGAAGGTTTGACACGTGGTGGGCAGCGCAGGGCTGTCAGGGTTGGGCGTGGATACTGACACAGTTTTGGGCAGCGCAGGGCTGACAGGTTGACACAGAGTGGGCAGCAGGGTTGAAGGTAACAACAGGTGGCAGCCAGAGGTGAAGCGTTGAACGCGTAAGCAGGCATCGTGAAGGTTGACACAGGCTGGCCAGGAAACCATAAATAATACATCTTGCAGGGTGAAGGTCAACAACCAGGGTGGGCAGGCAGTGGTGAGCGTGCCAACACAGCGTTGGGCAGTGCCAGGGTGAGGTTGACCGGTAAGATGGCGGTGAAGTGTTGACACAGGTGGGCTAGGCAGTGGTGTAAACACCATATTCTACCTATCCATGTGTGTCCATTGGGTTCTGATTACCGCAAAAAATACATCTTTATCGGTATGAAAGGTGGTGACCAGCGTGCTGGCAGGCAGCGGTGAAGGGTCAACACAGGTGGCGAGCAGGGTGAAGTGTCAACACAACGATGGGGACAGCAGGAGTGGAGGTCAACACAGTGTTCGGGGCAGGCAGGCGTGAAGGCTGACACGGTGAGCATGGCAGGCGTGAAGGTTGACACAGGTTGGGGCAGGCAGGGCTGAAGGTCAACACAAGGTGGGCAGGCAGTGAAGGTTGACACAGGTGTGCAGCTAGAGGTGAAGGTTGACACAGGTCGGCGCAGGCAGGGTTGGAACGGTTGACACAGGTGGGCCGACAGCAGGGGTGAAGAGTTGACGCACAGGGTGCGGAGCAGCGGTGAAGGTTCACAGCAGGGGAGCAGGCTATGGGCATGAATGGTTGACCAGAGTGGGCAGGCTGGGTGAAGGTCAACAGCAGAGGAGCAGGAGGCGTGAGGTTGACATCAGGTGGCGCAGCAGGGAAGCGCTCAACACAGTGGGCCAGGCAGCGGATGAAGGGTGCACCTGGATGAGGAAGGATAGGGCGCTGAAGGTTGCGAACAGGGTGGGCAGTCAGGGGTGACAGGTCTGACACAGGTGAGCGAGCCAGGGATGAGGTTTGACACCAGGTGGAGCAGCAGTGGTGAAGGTTGACACAGGTGGGCAGCAGGGTGAAGGGTCAACACAGGGCGAGCAGGCGCGTCGGGAAGGTTGATCACAGAGTGCGGCAGCAGGGTGAAGGTTGACACAGTGGGAGCAGACAGGGTAAGGTTCTGACACAGGTGGGCCAGGCCGAGGGTGAAAGGTTGAACACAGATGTGAGCCAGGCAGGGTGAAGTATGACACAGGTGGGCTAGGCAGGTGAAGGCTTGACACACCGGTGGGCAGCAGGGATGAATGGTTGACACAGGTGGGCAGCAGGTGTGCGAGACAGAGTGACACAGCCGTGAGCAGGGCAGGGTGAAAGGTTGCACAGGTGGGTTACGCAGGCAGTGAGGTCGACACGGTGAGCGAGGACACCGGGTCGAAGGTTTGACCGGTGAGCGCCAGAGGTGGAAGCGTTGACAGCTCAGCGTGAAGCGAGTGCAGGGTGAGGTTGACACAGGTGGATGCAGGGTGAAGGTTTGGGACCGGTGGGCAGGCAGGGTGAAGCGTTGTACACCGGTGAGCAGGCAGGCGGTGACATAGGGTTGACACAGCTTCGTGAGCAGGCAGCTGTGAAGGTTGACACATGGGCGGTGGGGGCAGCAGGGTGTAAAGGTTGACGACGGTGGGCTAGGCAGGTATGACAGGTTGACAAGCGTGGTGCGGGGCAGGGCGTGAGGTTCGACACCGGTGAGCAGCGCAGCGCGCGTGAAGGTTGACACAGGTGTGGCAGCCGGATGAAGAGTATGACACAGGGGAGCACGGCAGTGGTGATGGTTTCGACACAGTATGGGCATGGCAGGTGTAGGTTTGATACACAGGGTGAGCAGGCAGGGTGAAGACGTTGACACAGATGGGCAGGCAGAGGTGTAGGTTGACACGGTAAGCAGCCGGGTGAAGGGGGGAAGGCAGGTGTTCAGATAGTACACATGTACAGCGGCATAAAAAAACACGTACATGCGTGCAATAACGAATATACAACGTGTTTTAGTGCTGAAATATACAAACGGTTACACCCCGCAAACTCACACACGCATATGCATTGCACGCGACGCCACATGCAGCACCACGCAACTGCACCATCATCCGCACACTACGCAGCGCACCGCACGCACGCTAGCGACTGCACAACGCACGCACACACACACACACACACTAGTACATACGTAGTACGCACGACCTACGGCGCCGTAACGCATTCTTTTCTCTCTCTCTCACTCGGTGTGTCGCCGCACGCGCGCGTGTGCAGGCTGCCAGCCGGGCACGGACGTGGGTCCGCTGATATCACCGCAGGCCAAGGACCGAGTGTGTCGTCTCGTGCAGTCGGGCGTCGACGCCGGCGCCACCTTGCTGCTGGACGGACGCGACGTCACAGTGCCCGGATACCCGAACGGAAACTTCATCGGACCGACCGTGATGACGAACGTCGCGGTGAGTGCGAGCAAGCGCGCAAGCGCCGCCTGCGCTGACAGACGCACGCACGCACAGGCAGACGCACGCACGCACGCACAGGCACACGCACGCACGCACGCACGCACGCACACACACACACACACGCACGTGGGGGGAGGGAAATCCCTGAAAAATCTGTCTTAACATTGGTCTCAACATGAATCTTTTCTCACAGACTGGACCTCTATGCACTGCGTATAAGAAACGCGTGACTTCACCATGTTTCTTGAGACCGGTCTAAGAGAAAACGTTTGTTTGTTTCTGACAATGGGTCTCGGCATCGGCTGCTGCTGCTGCTGTGCTGTTAAGCTAGGCATTTCATTTCGCACTGCTTCAGCCTGCAGCAGCTGTAGTAATGGGTGCAGGGCGAGATCTCTGTGATAACGATTCCGTGTTCGACCACGGCTGGCGCGATTCCAGGCAGGTCACACTACAGCCAGGGCTCCATCTCCGTTTACCACAGGCATATGGCAAGGCACTGCACTCTATTGCACTGAAACGAAGTGGTATTCAGTTCCCACGTAGAGGTGGTGGTTGTTTTGAGGTGGTACTAGTTCATGGTGATCTTATCAAACGGAAATGAAAAAAACTCGGATTATTGATAGCATTTTGTTAGTTTTTCATTGCTAGTGTTGCTAGGTGAATTTTGAGCTAAACCTCAAATGTCAATCGTGTGCGGTTTAATACTCGGTTACTGTCGTAGGTGTATGTGTAAGTGGCTGTCCTGATGCCGGAAAACTTTTGATAGATTGATGTTTGCAGTTGGTTGGCTTGTATCTCTGTTGAACTAAATTATGAGTAGCATGAACCAAATTACAGCAAAAGTATATATCTAAATTAAAATTATAATTAAATACTGTACACGGTCTATTATCCGAACCCCTTGGGAACAGACACGTTTCGGAATTCGGAATTTTGCAGTACAGATATACATAGCATCAGGAATTAATAATGACAATAATGAGGAATAAACAAGTTTGTCATTATTAACTCCTGATAGCATATATCCTGCAACTAGCCAGTACTAAAACTCAAGTTTTCAAGAGGTCAAGTGCTGTACCGGTACAGTACAATGTGTATGAGTGTTAATGCCAAACACATTAATATTTCTGCAGTGAACCTTCTGCAGCCAAACGTGAGCTTTGGTGTGCAGACGAGATGACCTCCACGAAAAAAACTGTTTTCGGGGGGTTTTCGGTTATAGATAATAGATTGTGTACTGTATATCAATAGATGGAAAGATCAAACGTCACAGTTGCTCTTGCCGTTGTGGTTTGTTGAGATTTGTTGGTGATAACTGAGTGGATAGTGCAGGAGGTAAACTGTTTATGTCAAGACAGGTGGTGTCTTGGTTCTAATCGAGAATTCTAAGACACCACTGAAGGTGAAATTTGAAGGCAGGCAAATCTAAACATCTTCAAAGGTTTGTGAACACCACTAGCATTTTAATATCACTGTGTGGGACAAGAATTCTGTTTTCGATCAAAAAACTGTTTAAAATAGTACTCTTTTTGTGTCACCCAGTGGAGAGCCATTGTCAGAAACTCGAGTAGTTAGGACATCTTGAGTCATACATATTACATACAATTACATAACTTTTGAATTTGTACGTGCCGTACAGTTTATACATTTGGCGACGCGTTTATGACATTTTAGAGATAACTGTATAATAGTCATAGTCATAGCTACTTGTGGTTTTGTTTAACAGTGGCCCCCTTCCCTGTTTTCTACATCTACGTGGCTTTTTTGAATCCTGGTCCGTTGTGGCTCATTTGTCTCTGCCATTCTGTTATATGTATTATAGCATATAAGTTTTATAGCAGTCCCTGCCCATGGTTCACATTTAGCTCACGAAGATACATGAACAAATGTCAGAGATTAGCACATGCACTGCAAATTGCTCATAAGGATACACTTCACCACTTTAACGTAGATAAAATGACGAGAATTCGTTTTAATGTTATCAAGAGCACATAAACCCGCAATAAAAGGTTTGTGAGCTCTTGATGATATGTGTTAGATTCTTTGCTAGTGTAATCAACATGTAGTTTTTAGACTGCAATTCTTTCTAACAGGTGGCGCCACCGTGTTGATGATGGCACTTTTTCGTTGGTAGAGTTCGACAGCTTGTTTCCAGCAAGGGTCGTTGACAAAGTTCAGCAGCTGCAGAAAAACAAAACAAAAGACAAAATTAAACAGTTGGAAGGTCAGAATACACTAAACTAAATGCGCTCTCGCGCCGACCCTTCTGCGCAGGTGGACATGGAGTGCTATAAGGAGGAGATCTTCGGCCCGGTGCTGCAGTGCATCACCGTCGACACCCTCGATGATGCCATCGACATGATCAACTCGAACCCGTACGGCAACGGGACGGCCATCTTCACGACGAACGGTGCCACCGCTCGCCGCTTCACGCATGAGATCGACGTCGGACAGGTAGGTGGCGCCACCGCGCGCCTGTCTGCGTCGCGTTTGCCGAGAAGGGCTGGTGGTGGTGTTGCCAATCTGCAGCCTGAAGTCTCCAAATCCGTCCGGTTAGCGAAAAAATTTTCCCCACTTGAGTTCCGGCCCCACCATAGATAGTGTTTTGTAATATATGGTTCTTATATATATGGTTGGATTATAGTTAGTGTTAGGGTTAGGGTTAGTGATATGTGGTGTTCATTTTACATTGTTGCTTCGAGGAAGTCGAGTGAATGGAGTGCGCTGATTGGCTGTGGTCCGGAACTCAAGTGGGGAAAAAAATTTCGCGTCCGGTTAGGTAGTTAGTTGACCTCGACATAGTCAGTCGATTCAGCCGGCTTTTATGTCGAATGGGCGAATTTTGTTTACCGCGATCGCCTCGAAAACATTGCGCGCATGTTAGAGTTCCTAAGAAATGCTTACATTATGTGGAGATATGATCATACAATTTCCGTTACGGAAGAAAAATGCAGATACGAAAATGCAAAACTGCCAGAAAAATCGCAGAGAAAGCAGAAAAATGTGTCGAGAAGTTGTTATTTTTTTGGTTGAGAGGGGCATGCCACTAGACTCTCCCAGCTCTCATTCGACTACTGCTTCAGTCGTAGCTACTCTAGGTCAGTAGCACTCGTAACTTGGTGTTGTTCACTGTTTGTTCGCTCTCGGTTCGCACTGACGTTCTTCCCGTGTTGTTCCAGGTCGGGATCAACGTGCCGATCCCTGTGCCGCTGCCCATGTTCTCATTCACAGGATCACGGGGGTCATTCCGTGGTGACGTCAACTTCTACGGGAAAGGAGTAAGCATTCGCTCGTTCGCGCACCGTTGTTGTGCCATACATGTGCGTTGTCTGTGTGTGCTGTTGTTGTGCCATGCTCATGCTCGCGCGTGGTCTATACACTCTATTGTGTGTTCTCATGCTCCCCAAGCGTGGGTCGTGAGACCATATGGCTGAGCTGGGATGAGAATGTCCTACCGATTCGCAGGTTTTCATGTTTCTTCACTGCCAGCACCATTTTTTTATCTGTGGGGAGAGGAAAGTGGGAAGGGGGTGGTGTGTAGGGTACTGATCGTGGATCCTGAGACTGGCACGGTTAAGGTTTGTGTTCAGCTGCGAACGGTTGTGTAGTAGTATAGCAGGACGATAATATATCACTGGTGTTGGAAAAGCGTCAAGTGTGGTGATATAGCCGTTTGCGGAAAGGAATTGTGCATTGTGCGTCATTGAACAGCATCCTGTGTGAAGGTGTACCATTGCTGTTCATGATAAAGCATAGCGTGTCATCGAATAGCACGGTGTGTGATGATGTAGCATCGCACGTGTCGATATAGCATCGTGCATGATGGACATACACGTGCGTATGCTGCCCCGCGTCTCATGGTCCTCTTTATTGGCTTTCAGGGTGTCCAGTTCTACACACAGATGAAAACTGTCACGTCGCTGTGGAAGGCAGAGGATGCCACAGACACAAAGGCACAGGTTGTCATGCCGACGATGCGCTAAACAGACAGTTGCTACGGCAGCGGAGAGCGAGCGGTCAAGGAGTAGGGATTTTTGGAGTCGTTCGACGTACACCACTGATCCATGGGGGAGGGGATTTAGAGATTACCGGATAGGGAGAATGCACAGTATCATGAATAGTGATTTATCGATTTTTGCGGACGACCCGGCGTTTGTCGTGCGTTATTACCCGGTGATACGAGGTTTTGGCGGGTGACCTCTGACCCCGTCCCACGACGCATGTGCGGCAGCATCATTTTTTCGCGCTCGTCTGGGGCGGGGAGCATGGTTTTCACTCGCAAATCATGAATGGCGGCAAAACGGAATCACGCGACAAGTGGCGTCGCCGCGACGTAATGCGACGGAGGGACGGTCTCGCGACGAGAACACCAAGAACGGCAAATGGTTCGCACAGTCGCGGCGGCGAAGTAGCGACGATCGTTTGCTGATCGAGTGCTGAGTGTCGAGAGAAATTAAATGGACGAATCTCTACGCGACTGTGCGCGATGCTTTCTCCAGATGTTTGCAGTCTAGCTTACATGCATGTAGCATTGTAGTTAGTACTCGAGCCACCGGAAGGAGGCCAGTTCACGCGGCGGCGTCGATTAGCAGTGGTAGCGTGGTAAATTAGAAACACGGGTATGTTTGTTGTGCGGCGTGCGGAGTGTCGACAGTAGCACCAGCATGCAGATGTCGTGCGTGACGACGACTTGAGGTGGCGATTCGGGTGGTGAATTTCACTGTTAAATTTTACATAAATAAATTAGGTGTTACGCAACTTACTCGAGTTATTTTTTTCGTTCTATGTTGGTGGGGTACTGTACGGTGCTGCCATCCTTTGGCCGAAACGAGTATTTCGTGGTTATACTTATGGTGCGCATAATCAATCTTTTTCCCATAAACGTTAGCAAAGCAAGGCATTTGTTTGCATTCTGTTTATTTTATGCTGTAAAAAATTAATGATGCAGACTTCATAAAATATGAAAAGGATATCAATGAGAGTTGAATAGATACTAGCCAAAGAGTTTTGCAAAACTCAATAAATGTGGGACGAGTAACATGGGTACAGTTATGATGAAAGCAATATAGCTGGAGGACAGGTATCAAATGATTGCTTCCTTTAGCACATCTGCAGTAAAGCTTAGTTTTGAATACAGGCGTTAAGTAGAGAATTGATTAAATGCACATTTTTGGCAAGACTGAATTTGTAAAGAGATGTCACAAATGTCAAGCGTCACCTGTCATCAACAGAGCATTAGTATGGTCTATAACGGCTGACAGGACTTCGAGATGGGAGGGGAAGGGATGAATATCGGATTGAGGGTCGACCAGGCAAAGGAAGGGGAGAACATCGGGGGGGGTGAAGATCGGGTGGGGGTCGACCAGTCAAAAGGAAGGAGTGAACATTGCGTGGGGGGGTTGACCACGCTAAGGTAGGGGTGAACATCGGGTGGAGGGTTGACCAGGCTAAGGTAGAGGTAAACATCACGTGGGAGGTTGACCAGGCTAAGGTAGGGGTGAACATCGGGTGGGGGGTTGACTAGGTTAAGGTAGGGGTGAACATCGGGTGGGTGGTTTACCAGGCTAAGGAAGGGGTGAACATCGGGTGGGGGGGTTGACCAGGCTAAGGAAGGGGTGAACATCGGGTGGGTGGGTCGACCATGGAAAGGAAGGGGTGAACATCGGGTGGGGGGGTCTACCAGCCAAAGGAAGGGGTGAAAATCAAGTGAGGGGTCGACCCTGCAAAGGAAGGGGTGAACATCGGGTGGGAAGGTCGACCAGGCTAAGGAAGGGGTGAACATCGGGTGGGGGGTCGACCAGGCAAAGGTAGGGGTAAACATCGCGTGGGGGTTGACCAGGCTAAGGTAGGGGTGAACATCGGATAGGGGGTTGACTAGGTTAAGGAAGGGGTGAACATCGGATGGGGGTCAACCGGGCTAAGGAAGGGGTAAACATCGCGTGGGGGGGTCGTCTAGGCTAAGGAAGGGGTAAACATTGGGTGGGGGGTTGACCATGCAAAGGTAGGGGTGAACATCGGTTGGGGGGTCGACCAGGCTAAGGAAGGGTTGAACATGGGGTTGGGGGTGGGGTCGACCCGTGCTCCAGCTATTGAGTGTGGAACGAGGAATGCTCAACGCTAAGGTGTTAAGAAGGATATAGCATTTAACGTTAATCAGGAGACTGAGAGATACTGGATTGGGATTCTACATGACTCATGTAATGCTTGTAATTGTGAAAGTCGGGCGTGGGAATAGGCAATTTAATATCGCACGCCATTAGTAATATATGTGCCCTTTACTTGTGTAAATGAAAGAAATTAATTTTCCGTTTAACAAATACTAGGCATGCATGCGATAACGCTACAGTTAAGTATGGAGATTCGGACAATACTGGCATCGTACAACGAGGTATAGGAATGAGATATTTCTATAACACAATACTGGTTAGTATGTGGTTATTCATTGCCGTTTCAACAAAATGATTTTTCTTTTGCCATGTACTGGTCATGAGCACTACCGCTCTATCCATGTACAGTGTAGGGAAATTCGGAAAGACTGCACACTTCATACTTGCAGTGATCTCCGCTTTATCGGGACAAGCCGGAACCATGAAGATTAAGCTGTTGTCCCGATTAAACGGCGTACCTATTTCCAATCTCACATGTATATCTACTTATATACCTTGTGCAATCGTCTCTACACAACATGCACTGTACTGTCTGAATGCACACAGCGTACAATACACGTAAGTTTTAGCTCTAAAATTTTTTCGCGAGCTCATGCATGTTCAAAATCCGCTGAAAAAAACTAGACTAGTCAGCTTGCTTTTAAGTTTAGGATCGTTTTACAGCGTTCACTTAAGAACTATTAATGAACTAATAACAACAAGGAACTATTAACAACACGAAAGAAGAAAGTTTCTTCCAGCGAGTATATTCCGTTAAAACGAGTTTTCTTCGTCCCGTGAAAATAGCACGTTTAAAGATTTTCAAAGACACGTCGTTTAAGAGACGCGCCCGCTTATCCGGGGCTCGATAAATCAATTGGAGAAATTGATCACTGTTGGGATAGCAGCGCCGTAGCCTGAGCAAATCTCTAGTAGGGTAGAGGAGGAGCATAATTTCTTGACCTCACTGAGCAATGACTCTCAAAATTGTTTGTAGATTAAGATCGAAATAAATGACTGAATGTTCTATCATACATTACACCGATACCACATTTTACGATCATTTAGACGTATTTAATTATCTCTCTCTCTTTGAAATCTAAAGGGGAAGCTGCCTAGGTGAGCTTGTATTATGGGGAACATAACGATGTGGTTTCTCGTTGCCTTTTCCTGTAGCAGTATCTTAAACGTAATCATATTCATTGCTGCTCAGGGATTCATCACAATCGCCGTGATATCTGGGTCTACCAGCTGTTACATCGCTCATTTCTGATTCACCGCGCACCCGTCTGCTTTAGTTTACATGGATTCGCGTAACCCTGACATTGAAGGCTAAACATTAACATGATAACATGCATAGTAGCTAGTGGTTATATGGCTACTGGGGAGCGCGTGCAACAGCAGCGGCTGCGGTAGCACTATCGAGCCATTCGAATTAACCTTCTCCCTCTATTTCACTATCTCTCTCTCTCTCTCTCTCTCTCTCTCTCTCTCTCTCTCTCTCTCTCTCTCTCTCTCTCTC